TATTACACAAAAATTATATTTAATTGATAACTAAAATTGTAATTTATATATAATTTTAATATATATAAAAAAATCTGATAATTTAATGTAGTTTAGTGTATATAATTAACTTTTTTTAAAGGATTTGTATAAACAATTATATAGTATTTTATATATATTACTAGTTTAAAATCTATGTGTATTGTTTGAAATCTAGAATGCATATTTTAATATGAATAAAATTTTTGCGATTGTGAAATAAGGTCAAATTTGAGTATTTAATCATTAAAATTAAGATTATAAAAATTTTACTATATTAATGAGCTTTATTCACTAATAAAAAATGTTCAGCTAAATATTTTATAATAGAAATAATATATTCTAATTAAAAAAGTAAGAAATAGAAAGCATGAAATTAAATTAATATAAAAAAAGGCTAACTTCTTAATTTTTTAATATTTTAACTTATATTTAAATCCAGATTGATAGAAAAGGAGAATATTTTTTATATTTTAATTTTTTGAATGTATAATTTCTTAATCAAAAACATTTAAGAATAAAAAAATTTTTGAAAGTTATTTATTAAAAACTTTTATTATTCAAAAATAACTTTTCACTATTCTTTTTACTAAGAACTATAATCAGTAGGTTTTGGTAATATTTATGTTATATTTTTGTGAATTATATTAGGTTTTTATTATTAATAAAATTTTAATATTTAAATAAATTTAATAAATAGGGCATACTGCAATAAAATCAGATAAAGTAAATATTGGTATTACTAAGGATTTCAGAGATTAATGATGTTTATTTAATATCATAATTGTACAATGTAATGTGATCATGATATTTGTCTAGTCAAAAATAGTTAATATGAAGCTAATTTACATTAGATCTACTATGAAATTCAAAAATTATAGCACTATTAGAAGTATTTGAAGAAAGAATAAGATGAGAAAATTGCATCTTATATTTACAAAATAAATGATACTCAGACACTTGAGATTTATCTAAGAAAAAAAAGAATTACTTATGAAATTTACCAAAAAGAAAGAAAAATAATAAATGTTAAAAAATGAAAGCATCATGATGATGTATTATTACCTAATAAAAAGCTAAGATCTCTAGAAGAAAAATAATAGGAACAAATTTATTATCTATTTTATCAATAAGTAATTAAATTTCTAAAACCAATACTAATGTTTCACTAATCATGATTCAAAGGATTCTCTTTCATGATTGAATACTGATTTTTTTTTTTTTTTGTAAAACTTCTTATAAAAACAAAGTTTAAAACAAAAAAATTATGACTAAAAAAGAATACTTTAATTGTAAAAATACCAAAGAAGGTTTAGAAATTAATTGATAAGATAAAGAAGATAAAGAATATATTGAATTTTATTGTTAAGATTGTGCCTAAAATATGGTTCAATAGGAACTAAATAAATGTGTAAATTAAGAAAGAAATAAAAAGAAAATCTTCAAAGAAACTTTATAAAAGATTAAAAATAAAGAAAGGTTTGAGTGGCCTTTTAGATATAGAGTTATTAACCAAAAAGAGGATAAGAGATGAAACAAAATTACCATATATTGTAATCAGTATAAGATCATGTTAGATTGAAATGTCATTACTTATGAAAATAATAGAAGACATAAATATTCTCAATATTATAATTGCTAAGAAGACATTAAAAGAGGTGAACAAGATAAGCATTTTTCTTGAAAAGATGATAATACTTCCAGTTACATTTATTTCAAAAATATAATAAAGGGTGAAATAGTTTGTTATATATGTGACAAAATAGTAACACATAAAAAAGGAATGCTTAAATCTCAGATTTCTGATTTAGGAGATATTATAACTTTTGGAGTAGTTTTAAGACAAAACTCTAAAAGTCATGCAGCATTATGTATCAAATATCATACTGGTAACTTTAAAGAAATAACTAAAGAGGAGTAAACTGATATTTTACTAGTACTTAATAATACAATTAATAAAATTGATAAAGAATATAATCTAATAGACTATAAACTAAGTGTATCAATAAGACTACTTGCTTTCCAAAACTCATCACATTTTTATATGCGAATAGTTTCTAAATACAAAAAGCTTATAAAAGTAGGAGAATTAAAAGAGTATCATGAAAAGCTTTTTCTCAGAAGGGTACTGAACAAGCAAATACAATCTTTCAACTAACAGAAGATAATATTGTTGCAGAAAAAAGCAAAATATCTGTAAGATTACATAAAAAAATAGGAGGTATAGTTGTCTTTACCAAAACCTATTTACCTAATGATATCAATATTATTGATCAAGAAATCTGAAATCAAATTAGAGAAGTCTGCTAAGAACTTATACAAAAATGGCATCTGCTGAAAATTTTACTACTGATACAATAATAAGATGAGAAATTAACCAAAAAGTTGCAGAAATTTTGATAAAGAATCAGAAATGCTTTCAAGTTATAGTAAAAATTATCCCCCATCTGAATTTTTAGTACACTTTGCATCTAGATTCAAGTCAAGAAAATTTTGAAGATATTATAAACCTGTAAAAGATAATCAATTTCTAAATACTATGAAAGATAAACGAATGGTAGAAAAAATAAGAGATCCAAAGGCTTATTATAGAAAATGAAATAAAACTTCTAGAATTGAATTAAAAAACCAACTTAATAAAAATAAAAGAGAGAAAGTTTACTGAATAGTTAGTTGTAAAATACTATTATTCCTTCTAGTTATTTTAATTATTAAAATAGTAAGATTAAGAAACATAAAAGTTAATTATGCTATCTAATACTTTTTTATTTAGTATAAAAATTATTTAATTATATTTTATGCTAGCTTGGGACAAGTGATGTCTTTAAACTTATCCTTTACAAATGGATAAATATTATTATAAAGGTACTCTTATCTTTTATAGTTCAAAGGAGAAGGTATTAATACTAATATAGATAAAGCTTTAATCTCTTTAAAAATATCTGCTTTTTTGATTTTCAATAAATTGAATTCAATAAAAGATTTATTAGCAATTTCCTGAACTTTAACTATACCAAGGTTAGATGCTTCAAAAAGAAAATGTTGATATTTCTGAATACTTGGTAATTTCTTAAAATAAATTTCCAAAATTGCTTTAATATTTAAGTATTAAAACCCTTTTTCACCTTCATAATATTAGGCTTTATTTAATCCTACTGGATTTAATCTTTTCACAAATTCTATAACATAGTCTACATAATCTACACTTGTTTTTCTATAGAGTTTTTTAATTAATTCAAAACTACTATTACATTTGAATTTAGTATATTTAGGAATCATGAAATTCAATTTAACACTTTTATAATATCTACAAATTACCAAATATAAATAAAACTAAATTGTTACTTTATTTTTATTTTGACTACCAGCATTATCACAAGTAATCTTTAAATGTTTTTCACTTTTATTTAATTTTTTGATTCTATTAAAAATCATGCTAAGTATGCTATTAAGCACTTTTCCTATAATTTTATTTTCATTAAGAACATAATTGATTTGTTCCTATTGCTTCATCTTGAATATCAAATAAATGAACTTAGGATAATAAATTTACTTACTTGCTGATCTGAATGTGACATATAAACATTTTGGGCTCAATTATAACTATAATAAGTAGTAATATCAATACTACAATATTATGTTTTACCCTTTGAATAATTTTGATTAACTAATTTTCTTTGTTCTTCTGCTAATTTGATATTTTTATTATAATAATTTCTTTCTAATTTGACTTTAAACAGATATTTTTTAAATCTTTTAAGTAATTCTTTGGCTTTTTCTTCTTGACAAGTTTCATAATATAAATTATCTCTAAAGTGTTAATAAGTATTACACAAATCAGTTCTTAGACTCATAATTTGAATTTCTGGTATTAGTTAATATCATAATTTTCTGAAGACATTATATTTTAAAGATTTCAATTTGCTATTTTCTTCTAAACTAGCTAGAAAGTTTTTGTGAACTGATTTATAACTTATTTCAGCTGATAAAAAGACAATTGATTAAGTTATTCTATTGATACTTCTTCCTAAACTTGATAATCTATGAACTTTTGCATAATTTTCTAAAAATTCTTTATTACTTCAGCAACATTTTTATCAATCATTATTTTAGTTTTCCATTAAAGCATTCTTTTAATATTACTATGAATTCTTGATAAAAAACCATTGTTTATCAGATGATTTCTAATATTTTTAAAATAAGTCCTACCAATTCCTAATATATTAAAGATAAGTTTCTTAACAAAGAAGTGTATTGTGATCCCAATAGTAGAAAATTCTTTTATTAGATCTGATTTTCTTTTTAAAGTATTTATTAGTACTTGTTAATCTATTATCCATTGCTTTAAATTAAGTTATTAAAAATATATCTTATTCTGATTTAGAAAGAATTTGAAAAAATTCCCTTAATTCTGCAAATTTTTCTTTAGGAATTCTTGAAAAACAACTAGAGTTCCAGATGAGTTGAGTCAACTCACGAATCAGATAAGCTGAGTTGAGTTTAAATCGAGTCGAGTTTATGTTTTTTTGACTCAATGATTTGCGAGTCAAGTCAAATTCAAGTCAAGTTAAATATTTAACTCGACTCGATTTAAACTCAACTTGATTCGAGTTAACGAATGATATTTTTTTATCGTTCAACTTGAACGATTTTTTTTATTGTTCAAGAAGAACGATGACGAATCGTTCAACTTGAACGATTTTTTTTATCGTTCAAGAAGAACAATGACAAATCGTTTAACTTGAACGATTTTTTTATTGTTCAAGAAGAACAATAATAAATCGTTCAACTTGAACGATTTTTTTTATAATTCAAGAAGAACAATGATGAATCGTTCGACTTGAATGATATTTTTTTATTGTTCAAGAAAAATAATAACAAATCGTTCGACTTGAATAATATTTTTTTATCGTTCAAGAAGAACGATGACGAATCGTTCGACTTGAACAATATTTTTTATCATTCAAGAAGAATGATAACAAATCATTCGACTTGAATGATATTTTTTTATCATTTAAGAAAAACGATGACAAATCATTTGACTTGAACAATATTTTTTATTGTTCAAGAAGAACGATGACAAATCATTCAACTTGAACGATATTTTTTTATTGTTCAAGAAGAACGATGACAAATCATTCAACTTGAACGATATTTTTTTATCGTTCAAGAAGAACGATAACAAATTGTTCAACTTGAACGATATTTTTTTATCGTTTGCTCTTTTTTTTTTCCCAATCTTTTCATTTTTTTTTATTATTTTTTTTCAAAGTTTAATTGAGTTAAAATCAAGTCGAGTTTAAAATTTATATAACTCAAATCAAATCAAATTGAAAGATTTTATAAAATAAATTTGACTCAACTCAACTC